GGAGCCATCAGCTGCAGGCTCCTTACTTCTCCCCATTAGACGACTGCCTGCCTGCCGCACCTCCTCCCCTTTGGCTATAGGTGAGGCGGTGCCCTCCTCCAACCAAGGACAACCTGGGCACTGGCCCCAGGCCCTGGCCTTCTTGGAGGCTGGGGTTAGCAATTCTTCCCCCTCTCTCTGCACCCTCGGCCTCAGCCACCCTAGACTCTCCTTCCCACTGTATGAAGCATGCTTGGTTATCTTCCAGTTCTAAAAACAGGTGGGTAGGTAGGGGCGGGCAACAGCATGGTCACTGACTTCATTTCTCCAGGTAAGGATTTTGAGACCCATTTTTTGTTTTAAACAGTTTTCCCTTCACACGCAGCAGAAAGGAGACACTTTCAGACCAGAGGAAACCTGCTGGCACCTGCAGCCTCCTGGACTAGAAGATCATGGGGCGAGGGGCTGTTCAGGCTCAGCCTGGCCAAATGCACGGCCCCCTGGGCTGGCGCAGCCTCGGCAGCACAAGCCCGGTGTATTATGGAAGGCCTGGGCTTGCACAGGGACCACAGCCGCCTCCTGGAGAGGCAGGCTTCAGTGTGGGCCCCCAGACGTCGCCCAGGTCTGCTCACCGCATCTACTGAGGCGTCCCTGGAGGGGGCGTGTCTGAGGAAGGACAGACGCACTGCCCTTCCCACAAAGCTGCCGGCGCTCCTGAGGATCTACAAGGGTGCCCTATGTGGGGGACCACGGCCGGACTCGGAGGCGAAAGTGTGCCCACAAGGCCTCGGGGAAGCCATTTGTCCCCTGTGCGTCTCAGCGTTCGTCTCTAACAAAAACTCCTTTGGTGGAGTTACCGCGAGGGTCAGAGGTGACGCGGTCAGACAGCCTGGAGCCGTGGCTGCCACAGAGTGGGTCTTCGGTTATCAGCACCTTCTACACGGCAGACAGCTTAGCCCTGGGCTCTAATACATCTGGACCAATCCATGGAGGCAGGTGCACTATCCCCATTTCACAGATGGGAGACTGAGGCCCTGGGAGATCTTCCCTGCCGTCCCTTGGCGCTTGGCGCTGGAGCCTCCCCTTGCACCCCGGCTGCCAGACTCCAGAGCTCCTGCCCTTCACACGGAAGCACCTTTGGAGCAGAAGAGGGGTGTGGTCAGACTGCTGCCAGACTGCAAATCCCAGCCTGTCCTGCGGAACCCTTGGGTGGGATTCTGGAGCCAGCGTGGACTGGGTGGGGTCTTAAGGAGCACTGGAGGGCCAGGCTGGCAGAGACTCAGTCGCTCACCTTCGCTTGGCCCGCCCTCCCTGAGCTCCAGGCCCCCGGGGGCTTCCCTCTGGACTCTGAACTGAGCCCGTACTAGAACGACAGCCCAGTGGGGCCTGGCTCGGACACGTGGGAAGGGTGGACTGGGGGTGGCTGGGGCATCTCCCAAGCACGTTTCTGCTTCCTGGGACACTTCCTAAGGTCTGGCTCAGAGAGACCTTGGCACAGCGGACCAGCGCCCTGGGGAGGGGAGGGGTGAGGCCAGGCGGTTTCCTGGTGGTGTGGAGCCTTCCTATCTCCTCCTCCTCCTCCCCCCACCCCCTGCCACATCAGGTCCTCTGCATTCTCTGAGGACCCAGAAGGGTATGGGCGACAAGCATCCAGCTGAGACCCGAAGTCCCCACTGCTTGGCAATCTGGGGAGGTCCCAGAATGGCCTACAGGAGGAACCTGGACTCAGCAGGAGGAGATGGGAGGGTGTCCCTGCAGGTGCAGTGCACAGACAGAGCACTGGCCCCGGCCTGTACTTAAATCCTGCCGCCTGTCATCAGACATGGGAGTTACATGCCAAAGACTGTCGGCAGGCGGGAGGGGACTTCTCTCCCTATAGACTTCATGGGGCTGCATGCCGTACCAACACGCTGACTCTGTGCCAGGCCTGCTCTGTGCCTCCCCGCCCCACACATGGACACAGAGCCCTTGGGGCCCAGCTCTCAGGCTAGGATCCAGCCTTGAGAGCCCCTGACTGTTCCTGAGTTTTTCCCGTGCCAGGGCCCTCGTCGGTGGGCAGGCTTGAGCTCCAAGGCTCTGTTCAGCTTCGAGGTTCTCCGTTTGAGAGGACAGTGGCTGCGTAGTGTGGGCCATCGGCTGCAGTGCGGCTGAGCCAGAAGGGGCCCTGCTGTGCCCTGACTTTTCTGCTGTCCTGTGTGAATCTGCTCACAGGCCTGGGAGCAGGCCCAGGACAGGGTATCACTTCTGTCCTTCACTCATTCACCGTCTCGTTCACTTACTGCTACGGCACGAATATGGCTTGTGTGTGTCCCTGGGAAGTTCAGGTACTGGGAGTTTGGTCCCCAGTGTGGCTCTGCTAAGCAGTGGGGCCCAGTGCGAGGAGGTCCTTAGGCCCCCTGGTTGCTCTCACCCCTGTGCATGCACCGCCATGATGCCATCCACCATGAGCTGTTAGAGCTGGGGCGCCCTCAAAGGGACTTGCAGTCTGCACAGTCCACGGGCCAAGTAAGCGTCTTTTCTTTATAAACACCAGCCTCAGGGATCTCGTTACGGTCCCGGAAAATGACAGCTCTGCTCCCCCAGCTCACACCTGTTACATGCTCCCAAGGACACAACAATGATTAAGTGAATCCTGCCCCTCTGCAGCCCGAGGCAGGGTGTGGACAGAGCAGTCTGGGGTGGGGAGAGGGCCGGGGCCTGGGGCTCATGGATGCTTGGACTTGGACACAGCAGTGGAGATGGACAGAGTGGACGGGTGAGGTCTTCCTGGTGGCCTGCGTACACTGGCCAGGCAGCGACGACTGAATTTTGGGAGACACTGGAGCCGGGCATGATGGCTGCGTGCTGGCCTGGTGCCTGCAGGGACATTTACGTCTCCATGAACTTGGGGTTTCTGGAAAAGGAGGTTGGCGACCAGGGCTGCTAGCAGCCTGGGATTTTTGTCTTTAGACTCTCCCACTTCCTGGTCCACAGGGGTGAGCAGGTGTTGACCCCCCCCAGGCCCTAGGTAACCCTGGTCCTGGATGCTGGGGCAGGGGTACAATCACCGAGGTGGGCCATGTGGAACATTGGGTCCCTCAAGGACTGGGGAGCAACCTGGGGGTTGGCTGGTTCCCCCCGTGAAAGTCAGCTGGGGGCTATTCCAGTGCAGGACTCACGAGGGAGGCTGCGGGAGGCAGCTGGACAGCGGGTGGGGGAGGGGCTGGAGTGGTCTTGCCTTCTCCACCCGGTCAGCCAAGGTCCAATACCAGTAGGCTCCCCCCAGGAAGCTCTTCTAGGCCACCCTGCAGGAATCCCACCCTTCCCGGAAGCCTGTGTGTGAGCAACCTCCAAGCCAGGGCTACCTCCTCTCGCTCCGATGGCTGCAAGATGGGAAGGGCCTTGCCAGCGGCCACAACTGGCAACGACAGGCTCCAACAGGAGCACAAAATGCTTCCTGTCCAGCTGCTGTGGCCTTAAAGAAGCTGTCCCAGAGGACTGCGTCCCCCCCGGGCCCCTCGCACCTGTCTTCACTGCACTGAGGGCCGCAGAAGAGGAAGAGGGGCCCAGACGGATGCACCCTTTACTCTTACTCAAGTTCAAGAGAAGTATTTGTAACTGAACTGGGGAGGAGGTAGACCTTTTATTTAATTTTTTTATGATTTTATTTACTGAAAGGCAGAGTTACAGAGAGAGAGAGGAAAGACAGAGAGAGAGGAAAGAGAGGGATGAGAGAGAGAGAGAGAGAGAGATTATCTGTCTGCTGGTTTACTCCCCAAAAGGTCACAAGCACCAGGGCTGAAGCCTGGAGCCAGGAGCTTCTTCCAGGTCTCCCACACAGGTGCAAGGACCCAGGGGCTTGGGTTATCCTCCACTGCTTTACAACGTGCATTAACAGGGAGCTGGATCGGAAGTGGGACAGCTGGGACTTGAACTGGTGTCCATATGGGATGTGGGCTTAACCCAGTGTGCCATAGCGCCAGCCTCGGGGGTAGACCTGAAACAGTGGACATGCCCCATTGTGAGTCAGAATGCCCACAAGGGAGGCCCGGCTGTGGGCCCTGCAGGGCAGCCTGTGGGTGACAGGCCCTGGACGGGGAGGGCAAAGGTTGCAGGACTGAGTGCAGCGGCGGACATGGCAAGCACGCCTGAAATTCTCACAAAAGAGGAGGTGACAGCTGGCAACCCGGACTGCAGATGACACGAGTAAGAAATCAGTGTTTGTTGCCATCAGCCACTGAGCAAAACTGCCTACTACGAGAGGCAAACACAATATCCTGGTCCTAACCTGGATACTGCTGTCACCAACAAAGCCAGACACGGCAAAAGGAAGAAAGAGTGAGGGAGGACAAGAGGGAAGAAAGGAAAGAGGGAGAAAAATGCCGAGTGGGTCCTGCACCTAACCACAGGGACTTCCTTTGGCAAGAAGAGGGTAGATCCACTAGCACAAAGTGTCAAGTTCAAGGTTCCACATCGTGATGCTAATGCCTGTATTCATTATTCTAATACTCACCATACGGTGGCTGCCCTTTTGAGTTCTTTCCACTTAGCCAGTTATTTAAATAACCTTTAAACTATTCTACAAGGGGGGTCTTTTCCATCCATCAAATAGTGGTTGTAATCACTGCCCACTGATAGGAGAGGGGATGGAGCCTTTGAGAAGTGCAGGGGTTGGGCTGGGCTCTGCAGCCATGAGCCCTCCTGGTTTAGCCCTGGCTCCTGTGGGTGGACAGGAGGCTGGGCTGAACCATGTGAGCTGCCATTGTCTGGGCTCCCGGCATGGCCACCTGGCCTTGGGAAGGGTTGAAATCCAGCCTATGCTGCGCCTTGGATGCAGAGGTTGAGACCACCACGTTTTAGACTCCCACCTTTGACCAGGAGTGGGAGGTCGGCCCTGGGTCCCGGCTCTGCCATGGAGCAAGGTGTGGCTTTTCCTGCCCTCTGTGGGCCTCCACGTGCCCCTCGCTGAAGAAGAGCTCAGGATTCGGGTCTAGCAAACCTTCCCAGACTCTGCCCGTTCCCTTGCCCACTCGGGTCCAAACCTGCTCCGAAGGCAAAGAAGCAGATCTTGTCTTCGTTCTCCCGCAGAAGCGCCATGACCCGCTTCCCCATGCGCTCGTTCCTCTTGTAGATGAGTTCCTGGCGGAAGTAGCTGTCGATCTCCTGGGCGGTCACCTGCTCGTGCGGGGGCAGCGTGGTGTTGATGAAGTTGGGCAGCTGCAAAGGCAAGACAGAGGCCGCCTTCAGCGCTGGGCGGGGCCAGCAGGTGCAGGGAGCTATGCACAGCCTGGTGGGGCCCGGCGTGTGACTTTCACAGGCTCCCCCCACCCTCCAACCCCCAGTGGGCTAGGTGTTTGTCAACTGCAGGGACCTTGGCAGTGAGCACCGCTACTCCAGGCTCACAGGTGAAGCAAGCAGTCCTGGAGGCGCTCAGGGACCAAGTGGAAAGTGAGCTGGGGCAGAGCCTCGCGAGGGCACTGAGCAGCCTGCCCCGCGGCTCAGCCTTGCTCACTCAGCTCCCAGACACCGAGGCCCAGGGAGCCTGGGATGGGGCTCGTGTCCTTAACTGCTTCCCTTCAGCAGGCAGCCCAGGGCTCCCAGGCCCAGCTGTGTGGGATGGAGGGGCACCCCAGGGGTCCACTGTAACAGGAAGGCCACGGGCTATGGGGTCAGGCCGGCCTGGATTTCCGTCCCTGTCTGACAATGGGTGGTGCTGGGAAAGTTACTCAAGTTTTCTGAGCCCCGGTTTTCTCATGAATTAGGTGGGACTGACAGTGCTGAGGGGATTAAATGAGATGGTGGGTGCTATTGTGGCTGTGCTGGACCCGTCCCACCCTAGAGAGATGCGAAGGGGCAGTCATCACCTTTGGTTTCCCCAATGCCTGAGCCACCATCCACAGCCACTATATCTCCCAGTCCCTGGCTCCACTACTGCCTAGCACACAGCCCAGATTCCTCCATCCCAGGACCACAGCTTCCTCTGACAAGGATGCTCACTCAGCAACCTGGCTTGGAACTGTCCAACTCCCTCACCTCTGGGGCGGTCACCCCACCGTCATCACAAAGCCATGCAGTCAACGCCACGTGCTCTTGACCTAGGCAGAGAGCCCCTGGATTCAAGGACAGAGCCTTGGAGATTCTTGGAACTCAAAGCCTGGGTGAGGAAGGTGCCCAGTAGAGGTGGCTTGAGCTTGAACGCGACGTGGTGCTGTCCCTTCCTCGCCACAGCTGCCCCCCCTCCCGTGCTCTCCCCACCCCCGTAGCAGGTCCAGGTGCTCCAGCACCATCCCCGCCAGCGTGTGCGGGCCACCGAGGAAACAGGCAGGCAGTCGGAACCCTCTCTCCCCACACCCATCAGTGTCATCCAGGTCATGGTGGCGGACAAAGTCCATGGAGGCCTGGCATGAGCAGACTGATGTGCAGATCTTAGTCCCCTGCAGGGTCACCCATCCTGTTACCTGGCCTCTAGAGTCACTGCCAAGCCATTAACTCTTACTCCAGGGAAAACAGAGTGGTTCAATGTAGGCCGAACCCCAAGGGACTCTGAGGAGCCTGAGACTTTGGCCTCTGCACTCTACTGGCCAAGAGCCAGGAAACCCACTCTCCTCCCCGACCCAGAGTGACAGAGGAGGCACTGGTGTTGTGGTGTAGCGGGTAAAGCTGCCGCCTGCGACACTGGCATCACATATGGGTGCCAGTTTGTGTCCCAGCTGCTTCAATTTTGATCCAGCTCCCTGCTAATGCACCTGGGAAAGCAGTGGAAGATGGCCCAAGTGCTTGAGCCCCTGCATCCACGTGGGAGACCTGGAAGATGCTCCTGGCTCCTGGCTTCAGATCGGGGCAGCTCTGGCCATTGCAGCCATTTGGGGAGTGAGCCAGCGGATGGAAGATCTCTTCTCTCTCTCTCTCTCTCTCTCTCCCTCTCTCTGCCTCTCTGTAACTCTGCCTTGCAAATACATAAATAAATCTTTATAAAAAAGAAAAAAATGTAAGTGCGGCATGGCACTCTTCTTTCAGAAAGACCCTGTTTGCTGTTCTGGGATAAGCAAGGCACTGACACAAGTGGTATCGCTAAACTTAATGCAGTGCACAACCTGTGTAGCTGTACACAGTAGTCTTGACAGCGCCCCATCAATCAGGGCCTGCACAGAGCTCAAGTCAGACAGCCAGGATGACTTGGGTTGGAATCCCTCTTTCGCTGTTTACTAGAAAGTTACTTGGCCTCCTGGAGACTCAGTTTCCAAACTGGCAAAGTGGGGGTACTCTACCTTGTTGTAGGGACTAAACAGATGCATTTAGGAAAGTACTTAGCACAGTGCATGGGCAGCGGCTGGGACACACCTCGCCTGGGGACTGGAGCTGGCTTCACCTCCTTTCCCTTTACTGTCAGCAAAGGGAGGCCTGGGGCAAGGGGTAGAGACCAGGCATCAAGGGAAGACAGCATCCTGCTCCCCGCCCCCTCTGCCAAGGGTCCCTGGGGACTGTGGACACTCCCCCCTGCCCCGGCCCCCCACTTCCTGGCCACAGATGTGCACTTGTGCTGAGATGAATTCCCATTCATTCCTCAGGGGGGCTGAAGAACATTAACAAGGACAAGAGCCACAAAGTTCAATTTCAAAGCCGTGCAGGCGTTGGGCCAGACGCGCAGGTTCCCCAGGCTGCCAGGCCTTCTCTGTGTGTCTCCTGCTGATGGGCCTTGGCTCCGGGCCAGGGCTGGGGGCCTGGGTTTGGGCCAGGGCTGGGGTGGAAGCAAATTAATGATGTCATTAGGAACGTCAGGGGGCCTTAAATCTCCAGTGACAAGTTTAAGTGCAGGATGCACAATCACATTTTCAAGAGCACTTCCAAGGTCTCCAGGGGCCTGGAGTGAGAGATCTGGGCAGGGCTGGGGTGCAGCCGAGGGGGAGGACTTGGGGTAGGCTCCTTTGACTTGCAGCACCAGCTGCGTCAGGTCTGCCGATGCCCTTGACCTCAAGAAGCCCCTTCCCTTTCCCCCATGCATCCAGCAGCCGCTCTGGGAACTGACGTGTGTCTGGCTTTGGGGCCACAGGACTGCCTCCAGTTGGGTCTGTGGTCCTCGGTGAGGCTGACAGGCCAGCAAGGGGGCCAGACATGCACACAGGAGCACTGTGGGGGGCGGCAGTGAGCGAGGTGGGAGCAGGAGCAGGCACCAGAGGGGAGACCCCGTGTCTGGGCTTGTGCAGCCAGGCCAGGGTCGTGGCTGCAGGAGATGGCTCATTCTCGCCTGTTCAATATTTGGAGGCTGACTTGCATTTGAACATTCACTCTCAAAGGGTCTGGGGTTGGACAGCACATCTATCTCTGTGGCTACTCTCCACTGAAGGTGGGCTGGGGGCTCAGGAAGGCTTCCCAGGGGAGCCCTTGGATGTCCCTGCCCGTGCCAGGGCATCCACAGCGTTGGTGACCTGGGGCCTGCAGAGGCCAGGGCCATAGCCACTTCTTTCTTTCTCTCTTGCTCTTTTTTTAAGATTCATTTATTTATTTGAAAGGCAGAGTTACAGAGAGAGGGAGAGACAGAGAGAAAGGAGAGAGCAGTCGAGCTTCCATCTGCTGCTTCACTCCTCAAATGGCCACAATGGCTGGGGCTGGGCCAGGCTGAAGCCAGGAGCCAGGAGCTTCTTCCAGGTCTCCCATGTGGGTGCAGGGGCCCAAGGACTTGGGCTATTTTCAGCTGGTTTCCCAGATGCATTAGCAGGGAGCTGGACTGGAAGTGGAGCAGCTCGAATTTGAAACAGTGCCCACATGGGATGCCAGTGTTGCAAGAGGAAGCTTAACCCGCTGCACCACAACGCCGGCCCCCATAACCATTTCTGAAGGTGGGGACTCTGTACTGGGGACACAGCCTGTGCCCCACTGTGTTCAACCTGGGCCCCGCATCTGCCCCCGGCCTCCAGGAGCACCTCATCATCTTCTATACCGCAGCCTGGGGTGTTGTTCCACCGGACAGTGTCCTGCTCTGATTCCCCAAGGCTGCCGGCCCTCAGCACGCATCCCCGCGGGACCTGCCCCCTGCCCTGTAGATGGCTCCTTCAGGGACTCCCACGTCCCCTTCCCTTGCTCACACAGCCTGCTGCACCTGCTGTCCCTCCCTGCCTCCCCACCTGGGGACCTCCACCCTCAAACTGCTTCCCCTGTCACCTTCTCCGGGAAGCATTCCCTGACTACAGCTCCATAGCCTCCGCAGGGTTTGAGGCCTCCCCACCCCTTGTGGGCTCACCCTAGCTACCCTAGGTCTCCCTGGGTCTGGGGGTTGCCCAGCCCCTGCTCAATGGGCCGGGTTATGCCCGTGTCCCCCTTGCGTGCAGCCTGTGTTAGGTTCTAGACTGGGTGGGCCAAGCCACTCACCCTCTGTCCCACTTCATATGTGGGCACTGCCTGGTGACCCCCAACACAGCTCCTGCCTGCCAAGGACAAACCAGTGCCCTGGACAGAGACTCACATAAAATCGGAGTCTGCCACCTCCTGAGGTCTCCTCATGCCTTCCTCTCTCGGCTGAGAAGCAGCCACAGCCTGGTCAGGGCCCTGACCTGCACACCTCTGCCCCTCAGCCTGGCCACTTCATGGCCAGGCCATCCAGAGTGATGGCCAGGGCCCCTCTGCCACACAGCTCCCTTGGCCTCCGTCCCAGGAGACCACACAGGGCAAGTGCCACGAAGTGGATGACCGGTGAGATTCCTTTCAGCCTCCCGGTGTGAGGGATCTTCCCTCCTCCACCTGCCACCGCCTCCACTGAGTCAGAGCTCCCTGTGAAGCCTGCGTCACCTGAGGCATGGCTCTGCTCCTTCTTTCTTTGTAAAACATCTGTATTTAAAAGGCAGGTGAGGGAGAAACAGAGACAGAAAGAGGGAGGGAGGCAGATGGGGAGAGAGATCTTTCATTTCATTTACTAATTCACTCCCCAAAGCCAGGAACCAGGAACTCCACGGGTCTCCCACAAGTATGGCAAAACTCAAGTACTTGAGTTATCATCTGCTGCCTCGCAGGTGCATTAGCAGGGAGCTGGATCAGAAGCGGAGCAGCTGGGACTTGAACAGGCACTCTGATATGGGGCGTGGTGTCCCAAGGGGCAGCCTAACTCCCTGTGCCACGACGCTGGCCCTGTGCCTTCCTCCTTTGTGCTTGCATGACACAGCTGCACTCGCTCGTGGGACAGTCACTCACCTGGGCAGCACACCCTTGCCTGCGAGGACTATGGCCCGGGTTGGGTGGACAGCACAGACACAGCATCACAGCCTGGCCCCTGGCTGTGTCTCCAGCTTAACTCTCACCCTTCCTCCTGCTCTCTCTTGTCCTTGGTGAATCAAGTACACAGGACTCTTTCTCTGGAACATTCCTCCTGCCCCGTCTGTGGCCAGCTCGGGTTCTGGCAGGCACCGTTCCTCCTCTGCCTCCCAGCCCCAGCCCCTACCCCCAGCCCATGCACACACGTGAGCTGTTCCTTCCTCGGGCTCCTCTGCACCCACTCCTCCCTGCCTCCCGCAAGGCCAGGGTCCCATGTGGCTGCAATTGCTTGTTGGACCTCCTGTCTCCCCTGTGAAGCTGTGGAGTCCACCTCAAGGGTGGCTCTCCCTGATGATGCCCCTTTTCATGTGCCGTGCCTGGCATCTCCAAACCACTTCATTCATTCAAGAGTCAGCAACTCAGTCAGCAACTATTTACGGGGCCACACCTTGGGCCGGGCGCTGCTCCAGCCAGTTTATATATCGGCGAAAGCAGCAGACCAGATCCCTGGGTGCAGGGAGTTTGCATTCCAGAAAGGAGGAACGGAAAAGAGGGAGGAGCCTGTGAAGCAGGTGTAGAGTGTGGTAGAAGATGACGGGGGTCACAGGGAGAGCGGAGCTCAACAGCGGAAATGAGTGTGAGGGGGCTGCAGGTGCACTCCTCCATAGGGGAGCGCGGGGGGGGGGGGGGCGGCCGCATCCAGCCTTAAGTGTTGAAGGCAGAGAGGGAGGGAGCTGTGGCGATACCTGGGAAGAGCACCCCCAGCAGGGCAGAGGGTGTGGCCAGTGACCAGGTGCAAGAGGCTGAGGGTGCGTGGGAGGCGGGGGGGGGGGGGGGGAGCGGTTTGGGAGTGGGGCTGAGCATGGGGCACACGGGCTGTCGCAGAGCCTGGCTTCCAGCCTGAAGTGTCCTGAGCTGGGAACTGGCCCGATCTGCCGAAGTCACCTAATGCACGGCCAAGCACCGTGACAGAGGGAGCACGGGGCCTCGGGGCTCCTGGGGGAACATCTGACTCCCTCTGGGGGCTTGATAAGGTTTCCCAGAGGAGGCAGCACTGGACCAACCACAGCCCAGTGTGAAGGATGCAGGGCTGAGGGGGAGGAGCTGGACGAAGGCGGTGTGAAAGGATTGGCTGTGCTAGCACAGGGGTCCCAGAATAAGGTCTGGGGGGAGGGGCATCTAGGCCATCCTGGAGGGCCTTGAACGCTGCAGGAAGGGTCTCAGAATTTGCCCCGGGAGGTCTGGAGAGGCCTGCCGGAGGCTGAGCAGGGCTGAGCTGCTCTGGAGCCCCTGGTGGCAGCAGCTTAGATGCTGTCTGGCCCTGGGCCGGCCTCTTCCTTTCCTGCTCTATGGAGGCTGATAACGCTAGGCTCTGCTTGCCTTGGCTGGAGAGACGGCCCATGCCTGGCACATAGTAGGTAGCTAAACACAGTTGGGAGGAGGTTCCTGGGGGCTGGCGGGGGGGCCTCACCTGGGATGTGTCATGGTTGAAGATGACGGCGTTGAGGTCTCCGCAGTTGTAGTGTTTGATGAGATCCTCTGTGGTGTAGGGCGCCTGCAGGCTCCCGGCCCGCACGCTCTCGTGCTGCAGCAGGGTCTGGTTCAGAGCAAACAGCACCTGCGCCGAGGAGACAGACAGCCGTGAGGGCGGTGCCCAGGGCCCTGGCTGGCCTCTGGGCCTGGCCCTCCACCCTGTGGACCTCAGGCAACAGGCCTGAAGGAGGGAAGGAGCGTGGAGTCCAGGCAGGGTGCTTCTGCACTCCTGTTCCTGATGCCGGGCCAGCCGGCTCCCATCACAGCCCTCTGCCCCTGCAGGTTCCCACTCCTGCTCCGGGTCTCACGGCCCTACTGGTAACGCACTGGCATGTCAGTGTGGTTGGGAGTAATGGGGGGGATTCTTTTTATTACAGTGCTTAGAAGTGTCCTAGAGGGGCTGGCATTGTGATGTGGTTAAGCCACTGCCTGAGACACTGACATCCCATATGCACGCTGGTTCAAATTCAGGTTCAAGTCTACTTCCCATCTGGCTCCCTGCTAATGCACCTAGGAAAGCAGCAGATGATGGTCCAAGTCCTTGGGCCCCTGTCACCCATGCAGGAACCTTGGATGGATTTCTAGGCTCCTGGCTTCATCCTGGTCCAGGCTTGGCTGTTGGCAGCCACTCGGAGGGAGTGAGCTAGTGGCTGAATGATCTCTCCCTCTCCTCTATGTAACTCTGCCTTTCAAATAAATAGATCTTAAAAGAAAAAAAAAATGAAGTGTCCTAGAACAAGCATGGACTCACTTTGTAATCAGGAGCGCTGCAGACAAAGCAAAACAAACTCAGGAACAGAAACAAACAAAAAGCCCAGGCAGCAGTCAGGGCCCCCTCCCGAGGCAGCCTCTCTGGAAGCCCTCCTCTCCCAGGGCAGGGCCTGAAGCCCTGCGATCCCACAGCCAGACCCATGCTGCCCTCTGGGCCACTGAGCCTGGCTCCTGGGGGCACAGCTGTGCCCAGCCATCCCCGCTGGCGGGCAGGACGATTTGGCATGCCATGATAAAAGGCCAGGTGCCCGGGGCCACACCCTGGAATCAGAGTCCTTGCATTTTTATGGGGCTCCTGGGGCATTTCCTAAGCAGCCTGCCTGTGCCTGGCCCTGGAGGGAGGATGGCGGCTGTCATGGACACAGCCTTCCTAGGAACAAGATCCCAAAAAGGCAGCCTGCCCAGCACTAGCTGGAGAAACTGAGCCCCGCGGAAGGGAGGGGCCTTGCCCAGTGCACACACAGCTGCAGGTAGAATCGCTTTATGGGGCAAGCATTCCGGACTCCTCTGGCCAGCAAGGAAGGAGGAGGTGCTCAGAACCAGGGTTACTGAGTCTGTAGTAGACCTGTGCGTCATTGTGCACAGCCGTGTGTCCCCGGGCGCAGCCCACGCCTGCAGTCCTCAGGCCCTGCTCATTTGTTTCCCACAGTGCCTTGGGCAGCAGGCCCCCAGCCCCTTGGCTCAACCCATTGGTCTCTCACTGGGTTCACTGCCACAGTGCCCCCCTGCAACCTCCCGTCTCCCAACCGGCCCATCTCCTTCTGCCACAGCCCTCTCTGAGACACACAAATGAGATGGCCCCCCACTTTCTGATTTTGCTCGCACTTTCGTGGGGCCCTGCCGCCTGCAGGTTCAAGGGCGAGTTCATCAGTAGAACCTGACCACCACCTGGACTTTGCTGTCAGCAACCTCCTTGCCCACATGATCCTCATGCCGCTACACACTCCAGCGCTCAGCATCCCCCCAGCACAGCAGCTCCTGCCTCTGTGCCTCTGTGCGTGCTGCTCCTCACCCATGGGAATCCTGCCCCCGGCGTCTTCCTCTTCACACTCAGGCCGGGCCAGCCCGTGAAACCGCCCAGGCTGCTGCCTTCTCCATGATGGCGGACTGACCAAAGGATGACCCCCAATTTAACCTTCCCCTTGATTCGCGCCCTTTGCCATGAACTTTGTAGCTCCTGCCCGCTGACGCGGGGCTTGCTTCAGCCTATGGGATGTCAGCAACCATCACAAGGCCTGGAAAGCAAATGGGTGCTGCTGCCGCCGCTACTCCGTGCACCTCCGCCCGCGCGCTGAGAACAGCCCAGGCTAGCCTGCTGGAGGAGGCAGACATGCAGGGCTGCCTCGCCCAGCCAAGGCCTTCCTAGGCCAGCCTCCAGCCAGCTGGCTCCCAGCCATGTGAGTGAGCCCAGCCAAGATCGGCAGAGCATTCCTGCAACTGGGCCCGGGGACAGCAGCAGTGAAGGCTACTGCTATTGTAACGCAGCATCATAGTGGCGACAGGCAAGTGACACCACGCTTCCTCCCAGCGTGGTGAGAACAGCCCAATGTCTTTGCTGCTTAGCTGCCTACCTCAGTAGGCTGTGAGCTTCTAGAAGACCCAGAGGGCACCTTCATTCTGAATCTGCAGCACACGGCACAGTGCCCCATAAAAAAGAGGGTGGCACTTTACCCTATCTTCATCACTATGATATCCGCCGTGCTCACTTCACACTCCGAGGATGCCCCACGAGCCCTGGAACTCCAGCCCTCTGCGTGTGTTTTGGGGCACGCCACTGCCACATGGCAGCAACCACTAGGGTCCGGAAACACACAATCTGAACAACGCAAGCTCAGGCCATAGACATACACACACAGCTTGGTCGAAACACTGACACAGGCAGCAGGGCCACGCGTGTGCTCCAGGACTACCAAGCTGCTCCCCTTCCCGAGCTGGCTGGAGATGAGGTCACACCCCCAGCCCCACCTCTGGACTTTCTCCAGGCCTCTAGGCTCTGGCTGCCACCACTGAAATCCGATCTGTAGCCATTTGGCTCAGGGTGTCGATGGCAGCGCCGTGGCTGGGGATGGATTGCAGGAGGCAGTGGCCCTGTTGCTGTGGACATTGCCAAGGCAACAGCCACTTCCTCCCACCCGGCACATGCCTGGGATGAAAGTATCCGTAACGAGCTGATCCCCGCTCTGCCCCTGGGGGCCCTGGGACATGAGGACTTCCCGTGACCACACCCGTCCGCGGTGCACACCTGCCCCACTGCTTCTCAGAGTCAGCTGGGCCAAGGCCCCATCTGACCCGTGGTGATGTCATTGGCTTGGACGGCCTGACGACCTGGCTGTGGCGCAGAGGCTCCCTTGGACCTTGCTTGAGTCCTGGAGTGGCTTCTGCAGTGGTGAGAGCCCCGGGGAGCCGGGAGGCCATCGAGTGAATGAAGTGTGTTACAGTCCATCAGGTGGGCAGTGCAGCCCAGGCACAGAGGGAGTGTGGGGCTGAGTATTCCTTAACTGCAATACAGAGGAGAGCAGACCAGTCCTTCTGGGCTTGGAGCTAGACGAGCCCCGAGAAGTCATGTGCGCAGGGGAGCTTCAAACCTTTCTTAGCCATGGAATCTTTTTGCTGTTTTGTTATTGTTTCCCAAAGGAACCTTGCTTGGAACTCAGAATGTGCAGCAGTAAAAATGGAAACTTCCCTGGCTGATGTAAGGGAGGCAGGTTGCAGCCTGAAGTCCTGCTGGCTCAACGCCCCCCTGGGCAGGGACTCCCCAGGCCTCCCCGTGGAGCCCACAGGTACCTGGAGCCCAGTTAGAGAACCACGGATCTCACCCTGTACCCTCAATCATACAACAGAGGAGAGCAGGCAGGTGGAATGGGGCTTTTTGACCACACGGTGTTAGGGGCAGGGCAGGCTCAACCTCAAGTCTCTTTACTGTCGGCCCTGGGACCCTTTGCAGTGCCCTGGGCCACAAGTCCGAGGCTGGATTCCCTGAAGACCACCTGCATCCACACCCTTGTTCTCTCTGGGGCCGTGGGACACAGCCAGACATCACCAGGGAGGATTTGCTGTTGATATATCACAGACAGAAAGCAGAGGCCAGGTGCCAGGGGTGTCTCCGATGGAGGCCACAGGGCTCTCGGAGGGTCTGGTCCTTCCCTGGGTCCCCAAATCCTCCCTGCTCCTGCTGCTCTACTGAACCTCCAGGTCTTCCATGAAGGGTGCTCGCTGATCCTGCATCATAGGCTCTCCCCCCACACCTCCGGCCTTGGAGCCACCCTTTGTGATTCATAAAGAAGTCTTGTTTATAAAGATCTTTGTTTATGGAGCACTTACTACGTGGCAGGCACTTTCTAAGCTCACGGTGACGTCTTTAACCTTTACAGAAGCGCTGAGGCAAGTCCATGGTCAGCCCCACTTCACAGAGTTAAAAACCAAAAAGCTGCAGGAAAGACAGTCAGAACCTTGCCAAGGTAACAAGGCGGAGAGGGGTGGAAGCGGCATTGGGTTCCTCTCTGAAACCCGACCCCTAGTTCAGCACGGCTCACCAGGGCCTCCTCCTGTTCTTCCTGGGAGCCAGCCAGCAGGGACCCTGTCCCTGTTCCTAGAGGGGGTGGGGGTGACAGGCCAGAGGCCACAGGACTGCTGAAGGCCAGAGGTGCACATGCAAGGACAGCAGTCTGGCTGCAGCCAGTTCTCGCCAGGACGTCAAAGCCATGCGGGCTCCTTCACAGGCACTGTGGGTGCTCCCGACTAATGAGGGAGCCACACTCAGCCGTCCGTCCGTGCGGCACACACCCACTTTCAGCTGCTTCTCCGTGGGGATCCGAGATGGGCGGAGCAACTGGGCATGCTGTCCACCTGCACGCAGCTCCTCCTGGAGGCAGCGAGGCCGGCATTGCAGCCAGGGCGGTCAGTGTCACCAAGGGCTGGCCCTGACCTCTGCCACCCCCTCTGTTGCCTGGAATTCCCAGGCTAGTGCTGCTTGGACTCCCAGGCCCCTAAGCTTTCTGCTCCTGGCCACCTTGGAATAAGAAACCTTGCATGCAAGTCGGCCCTCGCTAGGATAATGTTTATGATGAGGCTCTGACATGGAATAACAAACACTGCTGGGGGCAAGAGCTGCCTTGCTGCCCCTGGCTGGCTGGTGGGAGGTGCAGCCACCTCACCCCCCCACCAACTGTGGCCAGGGCCTCTGCTGAGTGTGGGTCTGGAAGTTAAACCCGTCTTTAAACCCCAAGCCCCAGGGCCGGCATGGGGCGGCACGAGGCAGGCGCCAGGGGTGGGGAGCAGGGTGGGGGAGGCTTGCCCTTGCAGGGCAGTCCAGGA